GAGGAGGAGGAGGAGGAGGAGGAGGTGGAGGGGAGTCCCCAGAGGGGGCGCATGGAGTCGGGCCCTCTTTGCGCAAGGCCTGGCGCGCTGGCGCCGCCGACCCCAGTGGCCAGCGGCACCACCTCCGTCGGGTCGCTGGGCAGCGCCCAGCCGGCGGGAGGCGGCGGGGCGCGTGGGCCTCAAGATCAAGGGCGACGTTGAAGGGGGGATGGGCTACATTGGTTGCGAGGGAGTCGGCGCTTTCGGGCATTTTCGCGGGTTCCTCGGGGTTTCCCGCTTCGGGGTGCGCCACGGCAGCTGGGGTGCGTGGATCGTCCAGAGCGGCCACCAGGGGCCCGATTTATGGTCCGAACGCCAAGTGAGTCAGGGGCAACGTTAAGGGGGGGCAGGCTCAAGTGGGAGTGCATCGACCCCCAGTCGCCGATTGATCGCCGATAGCTGATAGCCCACCCCGCCCCGGACGTGAAGATTCGATATCGGGAGGGCCTATCGCCGATCTCTCAGCGAGCCAGTTCCCCATTGCCGTTTCATCTCTGGCCTCCTCGCTGTGGTCGATGCAGGACTGGGGAGGGCAGAGGCGAAGACCGCAGCTCTCACCCATTCTCCAGGTCCACCCCTTCAGGGGTCGCGAAGGTGCCTGCGCTTTGCGCCTCGCGGCCTGGGCCGGGAAGGCGCCCGTCTGGGGCGGCGGAGCGACGGCGTTGCGTCATATCAAACAGAGCAAGCGTGGACCCCAACCGGTGTGTTTCTGACGGTCTGTGCTGCGCGGCCTGTGTGGAGCAATCAATGTGGTGCAATCTGCGTGGTGCAAACATATCTGCGGTGCAACCTAGGCGGTGCAACCTGTGCCGTGCGATCTATGTTGCGCCATCTATCTTGTGCAGCAAATGTCGTGCGATCTTTGTTGTGCAGTGAGTGTGGTGCAATACATGTTGGGCAACCTATGTGGATCAATCTATGTAGTGCAATATATGTGGTGCGATGTATGTGGTGCAATCTATGTGGTGCAATTGATCTTTACCAATGATTTGACACATCCCATGCTCTTGCAATCATCCCACCCACCCACCCGCAACTTGGTTTGCAAAACCTCTTAAGACCGACTACGACGACACCAACGAAACGACTACGACGACACCGACGACGACAACGACGACGACGACAACGACAACGACTACTACGACGTCTCCGACGATTTCGATGACGACGACAACGACGACGACGACGACGACGACGACACCGACGACGATACCAGCGACGACGACGACGACGCCGACGCCGACGACGACGACGACCACGATGACAACGCCGACGACGACGACAACGACGACGCCGACGACGCCGACGTCGACGACGCCGACGACGAGGGCGACGACAACGCCGACGCCGACGACGACGACGATGACAACGCCGACGACGACGACGCCGACGAAGCCGACGACGACGACGATGACGACGACGACGACGTCGCCAACGAAGACGACGACGACGAGGGAGGAGGGAGGACGACGGTGACAACGATGACAACGTTCAGGGAGGAGGGTGGACGGCGACGACGCGAACGACGAAGAAGGAGGAAGCTTAATCCCATTTTTTTGCAAGAAGAAACTTTTTTTTTTCCCTACGTAGGCTCTGCCTAGAAGGGTTCTTACTCTGTAGCGTAAAGGGGCCGGGCAGTGCAACCCGCCCCGGGCGGTTCTCCCAGTCCCCTGGGAGCGGTTCCCCCAGTTGCGCCCCCTAGCTTTAGCTTTAGCTTTAGCTTTAGCATTGGCTTTAGCTTTAGCTTTAGCTTCAGCTTTAGCTTTAGCTTTAGCTTTAGCTTTAGCTTAGCCTTAGCTTAGCTTTAGCTTAGCTTAAGCTTAGCTTTAGCTTAGCTTTAGCTTAGCTTTAGCTTAGCTTTAGCTTAGCTTTAGCTTAGCTGTAGCTTAGCTTTAGCTTAGCTTTAGCTTTAGCTTAGCTTTAGCTTAGCTGTAGCTTAGCTTTAGCTTAGCTTTAGCTTAGCTGTAGCTTAGCTTTAGCTTAGCTTTAGCTTGTTTTAGCTTAGCTGTAGCTTAGCTTTAGCTTAGCTTTAGCTTAGCTTTAACTTAGCTTTAGCTTAGCTTTACCGTTACTGCTAATGCTGCTTTCCTAGGGGCTCCAACTCCTAGGTAGGTTCGCACTGGGATAATTTAATTTTTGATAAACGAGTGTGTACGCATCGTGTTCTTTGCAGAGGATGGCGGGGGGGACCGATACCGGCCTGGCTGGGATAGTATGACTTCTCAAGTCGGATGGACATTGGGTCAGAATCCTATGTGTTTTGCATCGGTTCCCGGGGGGTCTTTAACCCCGGGGGGGGGGAGGGTGGTAGAACCTATTTGCGAAAGAAAGGAGAATAGAAAAGATAATGTTTGCGTGGCGGCGACGGGGCGGCGACGGCGGCAACATAGCTGCCACTCAGTTCCTAGGTAACAAGTACGAGCCCCTAAGTGCAAGCACTGTTTCGGGAATGTACATACACAAAACTGCGTGATACACATATCTGTATGCATACAAAAGTACCATTATCATACGTACCTCCCCGAAGGAGTACGGCTCTGATGGAGATAATTGGTCGTACTTCCTTTCCTTTATGGCCGCTTCGCACAGGACATCCTCCAACAGATTTGAGGAGCAGGTTGAACAAACCAACCGTTTCAAACATGTGAACGCATAACAACACAATGGCGTGCATTGATTTCGGACACGATTCTTAGAGCAATGCCGTTTCGCGTGAAGCATCTGCCTAAATTCGAGCCCCGAACTCTGAAAACCTGTGGCGCCCGTCACACGCGCACACATCGTGAGGCACAGGTCCGAAGGCACCAGGTTTCAAGTATTTCAACATGTCAGCCAACGTGAACTCCAAACAGTAGGTGATTGGACTGGGTGTGTGCGCTAGGCGGTGCAAGCTATGTGGTGTACGCTATGTGGTGCAGTATACGTGGTGCAAGCTAGATGTGGTAACGGACGGCACCGTGGCGAAACATCGCCGGGAAGGAGGAGTCGGATGAGAGCGGGAAGGAATAGGAGGGACAGGAATTCAAATGAACAGGGTGGAGAGGAAACGAGAAAGAAGGAGGAGGAGGGTCGTGGTTGTCAGGATGACGACGGTGATGATAATATTGCTACTGCTGACGATTACGATGATTGTGGTAGTGGTTGTGATGATGATCATCATCATGGTGATGATGTTTGTCCTGGTGAAATGTTTGCGGATGGGGAGGGTTGTAGTGGTGGGATGATGTGCGGTGGTGGTGGTGAATGATGATGATGGAGGGCGAGCATAATGAAGGTCGTTGTGATGATGGAGCTGGGTGATGGTCATGGTGATTGGGGGTGATGGTGGTGGATGAGGAGGAGGGTTGTAGTGATGGTCATGGTCGATGGGGATGGTGATGGTAGGTGAAGTTAATGGCGATGGGAAGAGGTGAGGTGGCATGTGGTGATTGGGTCGATCATACTCCTGATGGTGATGGGGATCATGTGGTTGTGGATAAGGATGCGTGATGGTGATACTGTGATTGCCGTTGTTGGTGATGATGATGATGATGATGATGATGATGATGATGGTGATGGTGCTGGTGATGGTGATGATGCTCATGATGCTGCTGATGATGATGGTTATGGTGATACTGTCGACGATGATAACGATGATGCTGATGATGATGCTGATGATGGTGATGCTGATTATGATGATGATGGTGATGTTGGCGATAAAACTGATGACGACGATACTTATGATGATTATGAGGGTGACTACGGTAGTGAATATGATGATGATGATGGTTGATGATGCTGGTGATGAATCTTGATGACAATGCTGGTGGTGATGATGGTCGTGGTTATGATCATGACGCTGATCATATATATCATGATGTACATGATGCTGATGCAGACGATTATGTTGAAGATGAAGATGATGATGATGATGATGATGATGATGATGATGATGATGATGATGATGTTGCTGCTGCTGGTGACGCTGCGGATGCTGGTGGCGATGATGATGGTGATGGTGGGCGGATTGTGAAGATGAGGATGGTGATGTTGCTTATGTTGTTGCTGCTGCTGGTGATGAAAATGATGATGATGATGATGATACTGCTGATGACGATGCTGATGCTGATGATGATGATGATAATGATGATGATTATGATGATGATTGTGGTGGTGATGATGATGATGATGATGCTGATTGTGGCGATGATGATGCCGATGATGAGTGGATGATGAATCTGATGATGTTGCCGATGCTGCTGCTGATGATGATGATGAGGATGATGATGATGCTGATGATGATGGTGACGGTGATGATGCTGCTGCTGATGATGATGATGATGATGATGATGATGATGATGCTGATGATGGTGGTGGTGATGATGATGATGATGATGATGATGCTGATGCTGCTGATGATGATGTACATGATGATTATGCTGATGATGATAATGATGCTGATGATGCTGATGATGTTGCTGCTGCTGGTGATGCTGCTGATGCTGGTGGCGAGGATGATGGTGATGATGTGCGGATGGTGAAGAACTGGTCATGATGTTGGAGATGCTGTTGTTACTGCTGCTGAGGATGAATCTGATGATGGTGATGATGATGCTGATTAGGATGATGATGCTGGTGATGATGCTGTTGCTGATGATGATGATTGTGGCGGTGATGATGATGATGATGGTGATGATGATGATGATAGTGATGACGGTGGCGATGATGATGGTGATGACGGGCGGATGATGAATATGATGATGCGGCTGATGCTGCTGCTGTTGCTGTTCATGATGATGATGATGATGATGATGATGATGATGATGATGATGACTATAATGATGATGATGATGATGATGATGCTGATGATGGCGAGGATTAGCATGATGATGCTGTTGATGATGATGATAGTGGCGGCGATGATGCTGTTTCTGATGCTGATGATTATGCTGATGATGCTGATGACGATTATGATTATGATGATGATGATGATGATGATGATGATGATGATGATGATGATGATGATGACGATGCTGATGAAGAACATGATGATTACATGAAAGTGGAAATGACGATTGTGGCGATGGGGACGATGATGATGCTGATTGGGATGCTGATGGAGATGATGGAAGAGGAGAAGGAGGATAAGTAGGATGAGTACCAGGATGAGGAGGATGACGAGGAGGAGGAAGAGGAGGAGGAGGAGGAGGACGAGAGGAGGAGGAGTAGGAGGAGGAGGAGGACGACGGCCTGGGAGTCGCCCGCTCCTTTCCGCGTACCTCTTTTACACAGGATGGATCCGAGCTTGTTTTTTTTTCGAGGTGTTTTTCCAATCCGAGCGTTTTGGATCTTTTCAAATCGGTGTTCCCGCCGCAGCGTGGGTCTTATTTTAGGATCGGGGTCTTGCTCCTGTCGTTCAGACTTGCGCTCTCGCCCCAGCGCGGGCCACTTCTCTGGATCCGAGTGCCTCCTCATCGTTCTCGCCTCTCGCCTCTCTCCTTCCCCCTCCTCCGCCTCCCCCCTGGTCCTTCCGCTCCTCCCGCTCCTTCCGCTCCAGTTCCTGCTGCTGCTGTTCGTCCTCGCCCTCCTCCTTCCTCATCCTCCTCCACTCCCCCTGCTTATCCACCACCTCCTCCTCCTCCGCTACCTCTTCCCGTGTAAGTCTTTTTTGATTCTCAGGTCCGCCGTGACGCGCGTCCGCGGGCAGAGGGAACTCAGCGCAGCGGCAGAGGATCGGTGGGAGGGTTCGAGCGTCAGACGCGGCGCGAGCGTACCTAGCCTGCCCTCCCCCTTTCTCCCCCTCTCCCTCTCCTCCCCCTCTGCTCCCCCTGCTCTCTCTGCCCCCATCCCTCCTCCTGCTCTCTCCTCGTCCTCCTTCCTCCTCCTCCTGTAAGTTGTTACCTTCTTCTCTTGGGGCCCTGTAGAGCAGCCCGCACGCACGTTGCACGGACTGGAAAGACCAGTTCCTATCGATACGTTTTTTTCCCAACCATCCTGTGGTGTTGGGTCCTCGTTTTGAAGAGACGGCGCCCCGCGTTCCTCACCTCCTCCTCCTCCCCCCCTCCATCCTCCCATCATCATCATCATCATCATCATCATCATCATCATCATCATCATCATCATCATCATCATCATCATCATCATCATCATCATCATCATCATCATCATCATCATCATCATCATCATCATCATCATCATCATCATCATCATCATCATCATCATCATCATCATCATCATCATCATCATCATCATCATCATCATCATCATCATCATCATCATCATCATCATCATCATCATCATCATCATCATCATCATCATCATCATCATCATTTCGGCACACCCTCACACGTTCGTCCCCATCTCCACCGAAGGCCCCAGTGGCAGGGTTCGCATGCCTCCCACCACCCATTTCGGCACACCCTCACACGTTTCGTGGCCCCATAGGGAGCTCCACCGAAGGCCCCAGTGGCAGGGTTCGCATGCCTCCCCACCACCATTTCGGCACACCCCTCACACGTTTCGTGGCCCCATAGGGAGCTCCACCGAAGGCCCCAGTGGCAGGGTCCGCATGCCTCCCCACCACCATTTCGGCACACCCCTCACACGTTTCGTGGCCCCATAGGGAGCTCCACCGAAGGCCCCAGTGGCAGGCATGCCTCCCCACCTCCCATTTCGGCACACCGGTTCGTGGCCCCATAGGGAGCTCCACCGAAGGCCCCAGTGGCAGGGTTCGCATGCCTCCCACCCACCCATTTCGGCACACCCCTCACACGTTTCGTGGCCCCATAGGGAGCTCCACCGAAGGCCCCAGTGGCTGCGTTCGCATGCCTCCCCACCACCCATTTCGGCACACCCCTCACACGTTTCGTGGCCCCATAGGGAGCTCCACCGAAGGCCCCAGTGGCTGCGTTCGCATGCCTCCCCACCACCCATTTCGGCACACCCCTCACACGTTTCGTGGCCCCATAGGGAGCTCCACCGAAGGCCCCAGTGGCTGCGTTCGCATGCCTCCCCACCACCCATTTCGGCACACCCCTCACACGTTTCGTGGCCCCATAGGGAGCTCCACCGAAGGCCCCAGTGGCAGGGTCCGCATGCCTCCCCACCACCCATTTCGGCACACCCCTCACACGTTTCGTGGCCCCATAGGGAGCTCCACCGAAGGCCCCAGTGGCAGGGTTCGCATGCCTCCCCAACACCCATTTCGGCACATCCCTCACACGTTTCGTGGCCCCATGGGGATTTCCACTGGAGGCCGCCAGCGACTGGGTTCGCATGCGCCCCCACACCCATTTCGGCACACCCCTCACACGTTTCGTGGCCCCACAGGGAGCTCCACCGAAGGCCCCAGTGGCCGCTCTCGCATGCCGCCCCCGCACCAATTTCGGCACACCCCTCACACGTTTCGTGGCCCCACAGGGAGCTCCACCGAAGGCCCCAGTGGCTGCGTTCGCATGCCGCCCCCACACCAACTTCGGTGCACCCCTCACACGTTTCGTGGCCCCATAAGGAGCTCCACCGAAGGCCCCAGTGGCAACGTTCGCATGCCGCCCCCACACTCAATTCGGCACACCCCTCAAACGGTTCGTGGCCCCATAGGGAGATCCACCGAAAACGGTACTCACACCAGCATTACTCACAACTGCATATGGTTGGGTCCTTTCGCCAGGCTAATTTGACGCCGCTGGTTCAAGACGCGTCACAGACAGCTGAGTACTGAAAGGGGAACAGAAATCCTTCCCCTCCTGTCCTCGTTCAGACCCTCCCTCCCTCTCTCGGGCCGCAGGAGCCTCGACAGGCGCCAGCAGCACCCGTCGTGCACAAGAGAGCAACGCTTAAGTCGGGCGTGTCCCTCTACAGGGGGGAAATTCAAAAAACAGTGAAAACAACTGCCTGGGGTCGATTTTTCGACTAGTTTGGGTGATCTTGGGGGGTAATTGTTTCTTTGATTTTTTATCCAACATCCGCCTGTAGGGGGACACGCCCGACCTAAGGCAACGCCCGCCTACCATGTGAGCAGCGCAAAACAACAGGGTCGCATGCGCCGACATCGGCGCCTAAGCTTAAGTCGGGCCCGTCCCTCTTCAGGGGGAATATTCAAACATAGTTAAAAAATAGTCCGGGGACGATTTTTTGGCTATTTTTGAGAATTCTGGGAGTATGTTTGGGGTATTTTTTATTTTTCGTCCAAAATCCCCCCTGTATGGGGGACAGGCCCGACCTAAGCGTAAACTGGCCGCGTAAGGTCGCGCGTGGGTGCCCTCGTCTCTGCGCCAGCGGCCGGCGTAAGCCACCGCGTAAAGACGCTATGCGACCTCGCGTAGGGCCCGTTTCGTTTCGTAGTGGAGAGGAGGCATGCTGCCATATACTTCCCAGATGTCTCAAGCATGTTTCAAACATGGTTTCAACATGTAGACAAATGTTTGAACCATACTTCGAACATGTTTCCGATATTTAAACACACTTTAAACTCAATGACAGGACTGTTAGTGTGTCTGTCCATTGTCGTGGCATCCACAACGCTTGGCCACCTGCTACTGCTCCTTCCTCTTCCCGCCTCCGCCCCCTCCTCCACCTCCCGCCTCGGTCCCCCCTTCCCCTTCCCCTTCCCCTTCTGCCTTCTCTCTCCCTCTCTCTCTCCCCCCCACGCCCACTCCCCCCCCCCTCCCCCTCCCCCTCCCCCCCTCCCCCTCCTCCTTCCTTCTCCCCCCTCCCCCACCTCCCCCCCCCCTCCCCGTCGCCCCCCCCCCCCCAAGAGGCCTCGTCTTGGGGCAGGCCGCCCTGCCGCCCGGCGGGCCCCCCGCGGAGGCGCCGGGCCCGCGGGCCTCCGACGCCGCCGCGGCTGCCGCGGCCGCCGTGGCCGCCGTGCGCGCGGCCGTATCCTCAGGTCGGGCGTGTCCCTCCACAGGAGGGACATGCAACAATGATCCAAAAATAGTGCGGTGACGATTTTTCAATTTTTTCTAATGCTAGTTTTGGGCATTTTTGATGTATTCGGAATTTTTCGCCCAAAATCCGCCTGTAGGGGGGACAGGACCGACCTGACCGTATCCGCCGTACACGCCGATTCGAGCCGATGTCCCGATTTCCCGACCCCCAGGGCGGGGCTCCTTCTTTCAAACAGTGGCGAAGCGTCCTGGCGCGCCTGTCGGCCTACCAGACAAGGTTCTAAGAACCTGTGTTGGTTTCCACGGCATGTTGCTAGAATATCTCTTGCTGGGACTGTCTTGTTTCAGCACATCGGGTCTATGTTCTAAGAACATGGTGTTTGTTCTTGGAACATGTTGTGTTCTAAGAACATTTCGTGGTAGGACTATAGGAATGCCGGGACGGTCGGTCTCTGCTCAATTCTTCTTCTGTCCGATTGTCCTCTGCCCCCCTCCACCTTTCTCCTTCTTCCTGTGCTTGTGCCGTCGTGCGTTCCTTTGTATATCTGGTTTCGCTCCATTTGCTCACGCGTCGGCCAGGGATGCATGACCTCAGTCAGAGCAGGGCTCGTTTCCATTCCTCCGATTCGATTCGATTCGATTCGATTTCGATGGCTTCCGATGCCATTTCGATTCGGCTCCCGGTTCCGATTTGTGCGTCGATTTCTTAGTGAAGGCCTACCAGCCTTCGATTTCCGCCGATTCAACTTCTCCAGACTCGGCTGCAGATTTCCGCCGATCCGACTAATGTCGGTCGCCGATCCGACTTTCGATTCGATTTTGGGCTCCCCTGCATAGGTCTCGACCCAGTCTCTGGGGCCAGCAGTGGTCCTGGCCAGCAGAACGGAGGGAGAGAGGGGCCCCTTCGCGGCCACGGGTTGACGCGGCTCGAAACACCAGTCCGTCCCCTTCCTCTTGACTGACTGCGAGGGCCTGCCGGCCAGTGCCGCCGACCCTGGAAGACGACGACGCTGACCGCGACGAGGTAGCAGGAGGAGGAGGAGGAGGAGGAGGAGGAGGAGGAGGTGGAGGAAGAGGAGGAGGTGGAGGAGGAGGAGGTGGAGGAGGAGGAGGAGGAGCCGCATGAGGAGGAGGCGGAAGACCCCCCCCCCACCCCAACTCCCCCCTCGGGACCCACCACCCCCAGGGGACCCCCAGGGGGGAGGGATGCGTAGCTGCCGACGGGGGAGGGATAAAAGGGAAGGGGCTTCCCTTCGATTCGATTGCGACGCTGCTCGGTTTCTCTTTCGCTCGAACGGAGATACCCACGCCGACGGGGTCGGCGGATTTTCTCTGGGCTTGCCCGGCTCAGACCCCCTGGCCGCCTCCGAGGATGGAGGGAAGTGGGAAGAGGAGAGCTGGGGGGGGGGGGAGGGGGAGGAACGGAGGGGCATTTTTGGACTTGCCCTGGGCCGGGCACTCCGTGCCAAGGCCCCGACGTGGTGTTTTGTTTGCGACGTGGACCCCCAGAGACCTCGACCCTGGCGGCGTGGCTGGCCCTGGAGGAGTCGGAGGCGGCCTCCCTCCTCCCTCAGGTCGTCGTGGTCGTCGCGGACGTCTCAGTCGTCGTCGTCGTCAACGTCCTCGCCGTCGTCGCCGTCGCCGCCGCCGCCGTCGTCGTCGTCGTCGTCGTCGTCGTCGTCGCCGTCATCGTCGTCGTCGTCGTCGTCGTCGTCGTCGTCGTCGTCGTCGTTGTCGTCGTCGTCGTCGTATTTGGGATCAGCTTTTCATCCTGGGTTGCTTTTCGACGGTCTCCCTGGGCCCAGCGGCCCCCAGGGGCGGAAAACACCAGAGACCGTCCGCCGTGCTTCCTTCACAGCGCGAGGGGTGGAAGCATCATCGGAAATCACGACCCGAGCCCCAGATTCCATCTTTAAGTCGGGCGTGTCCCTCTACAGGAGGAATATTCAAACATAGTAAAAAAATAGTCTGGGGACTTTCTCTTTTTTTATTATGACTATTTGGGGGTATGTTTGGAGTATTTTTGATTTTTCGCCCAAAATCCGCCAGTAGGGGGACACGCCCGACCTAACCCTATCTTTCTGTTGCATTTGTCGAGCCAGATCCACCCGTGAGGGCCCTGGCGCCTGGGACACCGCAGAATCGCCCGTCCTGGAAGAAGTGTAGCGCCAGGATTTTTTAGGGACTGCCTCCACCGCGATCCCTGCTCCGCCCAGGGAAGCCGCTCGGCGGCGAAACCCGAACCTCACCCCTCGCCGAGGAACGACGCAGGCAGCTCGCTGGGCGGCGGGGGCTAGGGCTCGGAGTGCGTCGAGCACGTGGCGCAGTCCGAACCCTGCCTCCGCCTCCTATCGATTCAGGAGGATCGATGGCTGGCGGGGGCAGGGCTCGGACGTCGCCACCTGTCATTAAGTTTAAGTCGGGCATGTTCCTCGACAGGAGGAATTCTCAGAAATAGTAAGAAAATCATATGGGGACGATGTTTCCTCTATTTTTGATTATTTTCGAGCATTTTTTGAGCCATCTTTGATTTTTCGTCCCAAGTCCGGCTGTAGGAGGACATGCCCGACCTACTCCTGGGAACGAGTCGAGAGTCGAACTCCCCCCCTCGCAGGCTCGACCTCGGCCCCGCCACGCCCGCCTTTTCCGTGGGGCCAGCCGTCTGCCGCGGCTGCCTTGCTGCCCCATCGACTCGGGCCAGGGCGCCCTCGAGGGCGCGAGGTGATTCGCGCTCCGCGCTCCGCTCGGGCCAGACGCAGAGGGGGGTACGAAATCTGCTGCGTGCAGCCGGTCTCAGCCCCACCGAGGGGCCCATTCCTCGATGCATGGCCGCCTCCGGCGCCGGGAGGCGCCGGGAAAATCAGCTACGTGAGCTGATTCCCAAACCCCCCCTTTGATATCGCGAGGGCGCCAAGTCAGGCGCCCCCGAGGAGCATCGGTGCTTGCTGCTGGAGGCGGCGTGGGGGTCGGGACTTCAGAAGATCGCTCAGCAGGGGTGGTGGTGAGGCCGAATCCGTTCGCAATCGATTTCCTGGCCCCCTCCCAGGGCTCAGGCGATCGCAACCATGGATTAAGGGGGCGTGGATCAGCGATGGGTCCCGTTTCCAGGGGACGTCGCGGATTTTCGCCGCCGAGCGAGGCGATACCGGCCGCATTTTGGGGAGGGCACCTCCCCCGATCCATGGAGTTGGCGACCGCGCGCCAAATCCATGGATCGCTAATCCATGTTCGCGCGCCCCCGAAGGGCTCATTTGGTGCAGCTGTTCGCCTCGGTTCCAGGGTTAAGTCGGGCCCGTCCCTCTACATGAGGAGTATTCGAAAATAGAAAATTAGTCAGGGGACTATGTTTTGAGCATTTTTGGACCATTCTGGAATATTTTTGGACTGTGTCTTATTTGCCGTCGAAAATCCCCCTGTAGGGGGACAGGCCCGACCTAACTATGAATCGCTGATCCATGTTTGCGCGCCCCCGAAGGGCCCATCTGGTGCAGCTGTTCGTTTCTGCTCCAGGGTTGACGGCCCTGGGGGGCCGCAGACGGCCCCCGAGAGGCCGCGAAGGGCGGCAGACCTCCTCGAGCTCGCCTCCCCCCTCCCTGCTGGCCGGAGCCAGTGAGCGAGCATCCCCAGCTGGCTCCAAAGTCGGTGGGGGTACAGGGCTCGGATGTCGCCGCCCGACCTCGGCCACGCGCAGAGGGGGGTAGGGGGGGGGGAAGGCTTCTCAGAAGCCCTCCCCCTGCTTCTTAGAAGGCGCAGGCCTCTTCTATCTATCTATCTATCTATCCGTACTATATTATAGTATATTAGATCATATTATATTATATTATACCATATTATATCATATTATATTAATTATAAAATAATATATCATATTATATCATATTATATTATATTGTATTATATTATGCTATATTAGATTATATTATACTCTATTATATTATATCATATTTTATTATACTGCACTATTTAATATTCTATAATAGTATATTATATTTTATTATATCACATTATATTATATTGTACTATACTATATGTTACTATATTATATTATATTACATTGTATTATATCATAGCATATTATAGTTTATCATATTATATCATATCATATTCTATTATATTCTATTCTATTCTATTCTATTCTATTCTATTATATTATATTATATTTTCTTGTATTACATATATACATATTTATCTATATATATATCTGTATATCTATATATTCATCTATATATGCCTATCTTTATATAGTTATACCTCTCTCTGTCTTTATATAGCTATACCTCTCTCTGTCTGTCTATACATATATTCACATATCTGTTATATCTCTACTTATGTATGTATGTATGCATGCATGCAAGCATGTAGGTAGGTAGGTAGGTAGGTAGGTAGGTAGGTAGGTCGGTATGTGTGTGTATGTATGTATGTATGTATGCATGCATGTATGTATGTATGCATGTATGCATATCTGTATATGTATATGTATATGTATATGTATATGTATATGTATATGTATATGTGTATGTGTATGTGTATGTATATGTATATGTATATGTATATACATATACATACATTTATATATACACATATATATATATGTATATATATATCTATGTAGGGCCGGCGCCTTCATAAGAATCAGCCTCCCTCTAAGAAGCCTTTCCCCCTCCCGCTGCCCCCGTGCGCGCGCCGCCAATCGCCGCGACGCCCGCCCCGCAGGGGCAGCCCCCCCCGCAGCGCGCAGCCCAGGCGGCGGTCGTGCCCGGCGCCGCGGTGGGGCTCCTG